AAGGTGACAATAAAAACAAAACATAAGAAAAACTTAATTAAATTATTTGGTCTATGTTGTAAGCCCGAGACTATTCAGCCTACAATATTGCAATGACTTTGATGATGAAAAAACATGAGAAAACAATAATAAGAAATTGATTTTGACTAAGACTTAAGTAGAGAAATATTAAATCAATTAAATATGAATGGGAATATCTTTAAAGAAACCAATGTTTTCACAACAATTAGTATACATGTATAGACCTAGACTTAGCGTATTTAGTACTATGCCAAACAAAATTGTATCAAATAGTGACAAAAAGGGAAAAATTAGGTAAAATGCATATATTTTCTATTCAAAAGTCATAGTCCATTTTATACAGTACACCTTTAAAAAAGTTTGTCACAGTGACATCTCTGCACTAATTGCTACTTTGACCAGGCTCTGAACTGTTCACTAAGGGAGATAGTGTGTAAGCATGATAGCTCAGTCAGAGGAGCGGCTGTAAATCTGAGGGTCCCAGGATCGAGTCCCTGTCAGGCTGCACATTTTTCTTACTCTGTGACATTTGGCCCATAAAGGGGGGCCGTGATAGTATAGACACGCCCGTTTAACTCACAACGAGTGAAAAATGTCCATCGGTAAAAATGTTGTGAGCAACTTCCGTTCCTCGTTGTGAGCATCCATCTTTGACGTGTGACACGATAAACAAGGTGAGTTTTTCATAATTTTTGAAGATTACAGACATTTATGTAAAAATATCGAAATGCAGTTAGCTAGCGATGTGTTTTCCGAGTATGCACATTGTAAAGATATTGCCTGTTGGTGGACAATTTGATGGAAATACCGTGCGACGCAGTCACTCGGAGTAGCTGGAAACTGGAGACAACTTCTCTTTGACCTAATTTAACATTGAAAACGTCGATTTCTGGTTGACGTTTTGTGCATTCTAACCAAAACAGATGCCCACAAGTCTTCAGCGTAAATTATTATTCTGAAAGTCTTCATAGAAACCAAGATATACCCTTTTTTGCTTTAATCCTCGTTGTGAGCACCATAACCTCGTTGTGAGCAAGACAAGCGCAGTGCGTGTATGGTTTTAATATGTAATTTAGATGGTGAAAATATAATTTCCAATCTACCACAGCAATTAAAACGTTTTGGCACAGCAGCATTTCTTTGCAAGACGTTGTGCATACCCCAAAAGGAGGCATATTAGTTTTTGAAATGTCAGTCTTGTCAGTCCGTCAATCTGTTCCGAAAAACTTTAACATTGGCCACAACTTCCTTATTAGTAAACGAATTTGATTCATATTTGACACAAACATCCCATTAGCACCTTCCTACGGGACCTGTATTTTTTTACCTTGACCCCTGAATGGCCTTTACCTTGAAGGTCAAATTGTCCAAAAACATTTAAGATTGGCCATAATGTCCTGGCATAATGTTTAGTCACAACACATCTTTGGACAAGGCCTTTCAACTATCCTATATTCTTTTGACCTTGACCCCTGAATGACCTTCACCTTGAAGGTCAAATTGTCCAAAAACTTAAAAATTGGTCATAACTTCCTTATTAGTATACGGATTCTACTCATATTTTGAAACATCACCCCTTTAGGCAAGACCTTCAAACTGATCTGTACTTTTTTTACACTGTACCGTGAATGACCTTCTAGAACATCCAAAAACTTTAACATTGGTCATAACTTCTTTATAAGTAAGTGGAATCAATTCATATTTGGATACAATGCCCCTTTGGACAAGACCTTCCAGCTGACCTATATTTATTTCACCTTGACCTTGAATTACCTTCACCTTGAAGATCTAATTGTCCAAAAACAAATAATCTATCTGGTCCATAAATCAAAGGACAAAGCACCACTTCAGGGGCATTGTCAACTTAACGTGATAGTTCTTGTTTTACATAACTTGGTCAGTCTTCGGCTCAGGATTAACACATGTATGTGTGTATCACACAAATTGTGAAATTGTTGAAATATTCATAAACACCCCATGATGTTCACTCGTGCCACACTAGAGTATACGAAATAAAATACCTGATTTACCTCAAATGATTAGTTCTTCTGTTAATCTGATGACTTGTGAATATGAAGAATAATTTTCAAAAAAAGAAAAAGAAGAACTATTGCAAAGAAAAACTATTGTACAAAAACGTTTTGATTGCTTTTGGTAGATTGAAAATTGTATTCTTGCCATTTGAATTACATATTAAAACCAGACAAGCACTGCGCTTTTCTTGCTCACAACGAGGTTATGGTGCTCACAACGAGGATTAAAGCAAAAAAGAGTATATCTTCGTTTTTACGAAGACTTTCAGATAATAATTTACGCTGAAGACTTGTGGGCATCTGTTTTAGGTTAGAATGCACAAAACGTCACCAGAATCGACGTTTTCAATGTTAAATTAGGTCCAAAGAGAAGTTGTCTCCAGTTTTCCAGCTACTTCGAGTGACTGCGTCGCACGGTATTTCCATCAAATTGTCCACCAACAGGCAATATCTTTACATGTGCATACTCGGAAAACACATCGCTAGCTAACTGCATTCCGATATTTTTACATAAATGTCTGTAATCTTCAAAAATTATGAAAAACTCACCTTGTTTATCGTGTCACTAGTCATAGATGGGTGCTCACAACGAGGAACGGAAGTTGCTCACAACATTTTTACCAATGGACATTTTTCACTCGTTGTGAGTTAAACGGGCGTGATAGAGCTCATATTCTAATTTCACACTGTTCTCTGTGCCCCATTAGAAATTTGAGGGCAACTTTCAATATACATGTAATGAGGGAGTATGTCGCAGTTCAAAACTGTTCACTATTTAGGGGAGCTAGTGTGTAAGCGGCCAGATAGAACAGTAGGTAGAGTAGCAGTAAGGTATTCCGAGGGTCCTGGGTTTGAGTTCCAGTCAGGCTGCATATTTTTCTCACCTTAAAACAGTTTAGAAATTGACAAGTTTCTAAGTAACTTTCCCATGTTAATTTCAACTGTCATTAAACTTGTCTATTCCCTAATTTTTATATCTAGTTTACCCTGATTTTTCTAGGACTTTTCTAATACAGTTCAGATTTGAGCAGCAAGTTATGAAATTACATCTTCATATTAATTTCAATCGTCGAACTACAATATGAACATCTAAAAATTTTATACTTTTATACATACAATATATGATACCTTTCCACTGCAGATCGTGACAAGTTTTGGCAATTTTTTCTAAGCTGTTCACAGTGACTTACCAGTGACTGTCCCGTGCTGCAATTTTTCATTAGCCGTTAAGTGTCTGCTCTAAGAAAGCGGGAAGTGCAAAAATCATACAACCTGTACACTGTTGACTGTATATGACAGATATCAAAAATTGTTTTCAGATGTCTTACAGGAAAAGTGACTGTTAAATTCTACTCATCTATCATGTTACACTAATTGTCTTCCATTTCATGCCTGCTTTTAATATCAACTGTGCAGCTAAAGTTTATTTGTTAAGTTGGAAAGAATGTGTAAGTGGTCAGAAAGCTAAGTCTGTAGAGTCGCAGTACAGTATTACGGATATCTAAAGTTCAAATCCTTTTAAAGTTGCACATTTTTTCTTACACTGTGACATTTGGCACCCAATGAGGAATTTATGAGGAATCACCCATCTTGACAATGTGAAAGTTCACTGCTAATATGTTTTCATTTTTGCATTAATTAATAAAGATGAAAAATCAGAAATCAAGCCAATAGTTTTGGGTCTGAACTATATAAATCATTTACAGTAGCATGAATTGGATGTTTATATGGTACGCCTTTATACACATCCAAAACAATCACATTGGTTAATGGAAAGTAACCATAAATTAATAGTTTAGTTACCATTAACCCTTTTACTGCATGACCATATCAAGAAGCCTCCTGTTACAATAGGAAACTATAAAAAATGCTCCAATTCTGATCAAACTTGGCACATATGTTGACTGGACCATAGCCTTTGTAACAGCATGCTCAATCTTAAATTTCCTCTTACCATGGCAATGGGGGGACATCTCAAAATTGCCAAAAATTATTATTTTGCGTTGATTTTTTTCTATCAAAACTGATTTCATTAATCAAAATGCTGCAAAATGGATTGAGATAGTGAGATAGAGTCAAAGGCTTTTCAGCGTTTGTTACACATTATGATAAGATTGAGCCTCTCACAAGTCCAAAATATTCTTGGCAATGAGGGGGCTTCTGACCCCCTTCAAGCCACTAAGGAGTAGGGGGCACATCCCCCTTCTGGCACACCCTTGATGTACCTATTTTATAGGAGGTGGTGCCAAAAATGTGTTCAATATTTTAAACAACATTTCTTAAAACGAGGAACAAGTGTTTGGGGCTAAAATAGGGCATTTTTTTCAATAACTGAGGCCTAAAAAAGGGGCGGGGCTGAAAAGCTGTCAAAACAGGTCTATTTGAGGTTAAAGGTAACTAAATTTATTAATTCTAGGGGTCTTTTACTTCTTAAATGCTCCACTAGTCTTGATCTACTAGACAAGCACATGAATTTTCAATCTCTGTATAGTATTGGCAATAATACTATTTTTACTACAGCTTCTACAAGATTTTATTAATAATATATTATATTTGAATAGACAGAAGTAAATTTGCTTGATGAATAAAATCATAATGGTCATTGATTCGAAATTAAAGGCCACCTGATCAACATGTACATGTATAAGCAGTCTGACCTAGGCTATCAGATGGTAGAATCCATTTTAAATTCCCTGAATCTACAGACTGGACATACATGTTTCCTCAATCAATATGTTGCCAAAACATTATCTTTTACAATAAATTATATTATCAAAATAATCAATAGATCTAAGCAAAAATAAAGATAAAAACATTTTGATAATGACATGTTCAGAAATCAAAACAATGTGTAAAAAGTAAAACAAGAAACTCAATCTCTAATACATGAGAACAAATAACATAAGTCAATCACTGATAAACCATTGGCTTTTCATAATATCAAACCATCATGGCAGAGTGCCAAAATTCAGAAACCATGCTTTCACTTTGAATACCTTTAAATCCTGGTGAACTTGGTCCTGGAGATCTTCTGTCAGGTGAATGCCTGCTGTCAGTGACTGGAGATCTTCGTTGCAATGTCAAGCTACATGGTGACGATGGGCTTCTCGATGGGCTACTTTTCAAAATAAAGGGCTTTACTGCCTTCATAGGTCCCTGTCTTTGTGGAGGGGACACATTTCGCCGCATTTTATGCGCCGAAGTAGGGCATTGCCCAGACATTTTCTGATATTTAATTCCAGAAACTTAAAGATTGAATGTTAATCCAACACTAGCTTAATTATCACCAAGTTAAACCTCGTATTTAACTGATTATTTTGATTAGATACCTGCTGACGCTCAATAACTTCTGCACAACTTTAGGCACTACACAAAAATTCTACATTTACATGTCATGTGACTAGATTTTAAGTTTTGATTGGAGCAAAAACAAGGTTAATGTCATGACCCGAAATTGACATTATTTCTAGCTTTTTCGAAATTTTAAAACAATTCGAATATGACCCGGAATATAAATATCATTTAAATATTTAAAGACGGATAACATGTGAAAACTGCATTTTCCATCTGCATTTTACTCGTAAAACTTCAAAATATCAGCTGGTTTACTATTAGAGTTACTCCCCTTTAGTTCATTCATAAACAAAACGCGCTAAATGTAAACATCCGGTACACGTGGTTTTACAATCACAACTGTCAAACTCGGATTTCAGTTTTTGAGCACTTCTGTATCATTTATTCAAACTAATTTTTTTGTCTAAATATGATAATGAGCTGTTAATTGGCTAGAATGCATTTATCGTTTACATTTTAGTACAATTTTTATATCAAACTTCTAATTATAGAATATTCATACAAATACACCTGTATTGTCAAACACTAATTATGTATCGTGTATGGCCTAGTTTTCTAAATGTACTGAAAATACCTCATCTAAGTAAGTTGCTACTTGTTGAAAATGTTTCTTCAATGCATTCCGATTTTTTTGTTCAATTTCTATTTCCTAAAATTTGCCCTGTTAAATTACAAAATGTTACGTATGATTTATGATTGTATTTAGTATAAAATCACAGTTATTCATTAGAATGTAAACTGCGCCAAAACAGGAAAAAAGTATACATAGGAATAATGTATACACACATAGTGTACCAGAGCAATGACAAGTGCAGAATCGAGTCGAACTTATTCGTGCATGTTATTGTGTATAAGAAAGTATAAGGCATTATTAAAAAGTTATTTATCAAATCGCACGTCTTTTAACGATTAATCAATATTGAAAAGGTAATATCTCTTGTCCCCTCTAACCCCCACCCCACCTCACTAAAAATAATAATAATAATGTGAAAATAAAAATTTCGTTATTGACACTAATATTTATGATTTTTATATGTTATCAAGGGGAGACAAAAGCTACATTGTAAAGTTTTAATCTACTAAGAGTTATACTGTGCTCCTCTTAGTTCACGGTAACAAGAAAGAAAATAACAAATGAAACTTATGGTACAAAAATTGTCATAAGCTGTAACATATAGGAATTTTCTGCTGTATGACACAAAAAATCAACAATATATTCAGGCAAAATCAGTTTTGATGGGCCAGATAACGGTCATTTTGAAAACTGTATGTCATCATTTAAATCGCGGTAAATGGTTTACACTTCAGTTTTTTTCATCTTTCAGCGAAAATTTCTACAGGTTATTTTGTTTAATTTTAAATATTAAAACTATTTTTACTTTGTAACTCAAAATCTATTTTTTCAACAAATAAGAACATTTAGAAAATGATGATTGTTTCAAACGTATGCACAAATTTAATGGACTATTGTTGCTTTTTGCAGACATTTGTAAAATGTTGTTCTGTTTTACGTAAAAATGTAGAGATTTAAAATATTTTGCATATACTCTTTGTTGTTTAGGTGTACGAATAAAATATGTCAATTCTGACCAATTCTAACACTGGTCATATGAAAATATGCCATTACCGTGAAATAAGTGATGACGCGAAATTAGTGATGTTGAGTATAATCTTAGCATATTAGATTCTAGTAAGGAAAATTTATGACGATAATTAAAATAAAACATTACAAAAAATCAAAACAATTTGTAAGTGCTTCTTTAATGATGTCCAAACGTAATTTATTTAGGATATATCGTATATATCTATCAATTTTGAGGATAATGCACGGTTCGATTTCAAATGCGTTGGAAAATATTCACGAAAGCCGATGATCAATTACAAAGCATTTACACGATAAACCGTGCATTTATTCATTATATACTATAATGCAAGAAAAAAATATTTCCATTCTTACATGCTAATAAAAGGATAACTTGATAAAAAAAAATGTTGAACTCCATTGACAATATCAAATTAGTAATTTTCCTGACGTCATTTGGTTTATTGACGTCATACATTCGTCGTGTAAAAAAATTGTACTTTAAAATATTGCCCTATCTGTGTGGTAGGATGAATAGTGTGAAGCGTGTTAAGTATTGTCCACTAGTGTTATTATTTGAATAGATCTACTTTCACTATGTGTTTTGACGGATAAATCAACGTTATGAAAGTCTTATCTGTTATGTTCAGATTTCTCTTTAAAGACTTAAAATTAAGTTCAATGATAGGGTTTTAGCATTAACAAATTAAGATCTAGTGTAAATCAGCTACACTCAAACTTACAAGTATGTACATCCGGTACTTTAGAAAGGCAAAAATGGTCGTTGTTGACAAATGAGCCGCGTCACGACAAAACCAACATAATGCGTTTGCGACCAGCATGGATCCAGACCAGCCTGCGCAGTCTGATCAGGATCCGTGCTGTTCGCTATCAGTTTCTCTACTTGTAATAGAGTTGGTAAGCGAACAGCATGGGTCCTGATCAGACTGCGCGGATGCGCAGGCTGGTCTGGATCCATGCTGGTCGCAAACGCACTATGTTGGTTTTGTCGTGACGCGGCTCAAATATATTTGCAGTCTCAATGACCAAACGCTTTGAACAGTGCCATGCTTTCTGCAGATGGTCTATATTCCGAGGTGTATTAAAGTATTTGTTGGACTATAGTATCTTGACAGATTGTGATAAATTAATTGTTTGACCTTGGTCAAGCTAAATTTGTTAAATGAACTTGCTCTTCTTATAATTCGAACCGTTCACTGTATGCGTAAAGGCTTTGACTCTATATAGCCCTTGCTAGGGCAGACGGGCCTGGCTCTGTCCATATATTTATCCTTGTTTCTGGAGTTTAGTAATTACAGAACAGAATTGTATTGACCAGTAGAGAAATTCTTATTGTAGCTTTGGTGTCTTCACATTCTTTTTTTTTCTTCATTTTCTCATTGTGCAGATAATTACATTCATTCTCGCCAATTCCCGGTATTTGTCTGAAAATTTAAGCATGCATATGGACAATAATGAGTAAGTTGTATTGCCAGTTCAATCAGATTATTTAGATAATTTTTGAGCCGCGTCATGACAAAACCAACGTAATGCGTTTGCGACCAGCATGGATCCAGAGCAGCCTGCGCATCCGCGCAGTCTGATCAGGATCCATGCTGTTTCGCTTACATACCCTATTACAAATAGAGAAACTGATAGTGAACAGCATGGATCCTGATCAGACTGCGCGGATGCGCAGGCTGCTCTGGATCCATGCTGGTCGCAAACCCGTTATGTTGGTTTTGTTGTGTCGCGGCTCATTTACTCTCGTCTTTCAAATATTATACCGGTAGTATTATAGTATATTGATTGTAAAGAACTGATAAAGTTATAGGTGAATATAAGTTAATTAGAAATTGCTGTAATCTGTAATTCTTACATAATTAGGAGCTAAGGACTTTAGTTTCTTTCATGTGAGGAAGCTATCCAGCTAGCGCATATATTTATATGTCTTGAATGCAAAGAGAGACACTTGAGGACTTTCTCCACCAGTAAAATTGATACGTTTATTGATAAACACGTTAAGATAATTTATATATATGTAAATCATTGTCATAGTCTTTGTAAATCCAGTTTGACATGATCGTGCGTACTTCCGACTTATAAGTTTATGAACATATTGATAAGTTATCTATAATTGATTTATTTACATACACAGCGAGTGTTGAACATCGTTTATATTCATTTCGTTGGTATACGAGATATCTTTAAATGCAAGTCTCTCTCCTATTTTAATAAAGCGACTGTTCATCGTTTATAGTCCGATCTTTAATCATAAATGTATATGAATTTAACTATAAATAAACAGAAATAATTTCAACACTCAACTTTTCATATCATACAATTTGGAAGTTTCAGAATGTAAAAAAAACAAACCCAAATCAAGTCTTAACAGAATCAACCGATGTTTTCTGCCAACCTTGCCTAGAGGATGGAGATAGTTCGCCGGTCTTTTATGTGTCAGAGATAATAAAAGCAGTGTTAGAATTTAAACTTGATGACAAGCTATAAGCTAGACACACGTGTGACGGAATAGATTCAGCGGATGGTCTGGTAGTGCCTAAAGACACGTGTAAAACTTATGGTGCTGTTTAGTGTGAAAGCAGGAACAAACTGTGTCAGTTAAAAAGGAAAACGACCAATCTGCCCCTTCTGCTGGAAATATGAGTAAAGTCTTTAAGTTGAAATAATTGGATCAAGTTAAATACATTTGTAAATGTGATACACATACAGTATGTTGTGTTTTAAAAGACTAGTTCTAAAGCATAACTGAACCCTGGAAGGCACAAGTGGTGCTCAAACTCTTTATCTCCATTCTTAGTGTTGCTGAGAACTCGGTGACTAAATATGACCACAAAATAGAAGAAAACAAACAGTTAAGACTCATAGTACTTTTTATTACATTGAAGATGCAACATAAATAACTGTTTTATAAATAAAGAACAAATTAGTAAATAAACAAAATATCACTTAAGCTTTAATACTTCTCTAGACATGAACTCATAATAACATGGGTAAAAAGTACTGTAATCTTCTGTTCTCAATGCTTGATAGCCAAGAAAAGGGGACATAAAAAGCCTGACAGAATTACATAGCTTTACAAATACAAATGTATTTCAAGTTTGAAGTGAATATCTGTGATGGTTTGTTTTTTGTTTTTTAAGGAGGAAAATATTCCAGTAAAAAAATGAGATAATTAAGCAACAAAATGAATTTCAGGGGTTTTAGGAATGCAGTGAACAAGCTTAAAGACCAGATCAACATGGAAGGGTGGCAGTCCATGAATGCACCCTCCTCCCAACATAACCCAGCAACAAAGAACCACTCAAGTTTTAAGTGAATATCTAAGATAGCCTTTGAGAAATGAACCTTTACAAATAGCTTTCCAAGAAATTTTAAGTTTCAAAATGGGTATAACTGAGCACAAATAAATTTCATGGAAATTATTTAAAGAATACAAAAAGGACAAAATTTAGCCATTTAATAGCACAGTTAGATTCCATGGACATTTCTGCCCTGATTTGGTGTAATGGACTCGTCCATTTTTAAATTTGGAATTGCCTATTGTTAAAGTGACATCATGGTAAAAGGGGTTGAATTTTGGAACTTTAAACTTTAAACCAATTAAACTCAGTGCTGGTTAACATGCAAGACCAAAAATCTAAGGTTTACTGCCTGTGCGGGTTCAAACCCCATCAGTGGCAAGCTGTTTTTTTCTTAAGCCTTAACACTTTTTACTAGTACTTGTTCGTTCATGGGACAGTTTTGAGAGGGTATATATTAAAGCTCCATACACACAACCTTAAAATACTTGTCATAGAATCTTAATACTTGCTCAATAATAGTATTTCATACTGAAATCCCTGACATAAGAATGAACTCTACCAAAATCAAAGCAGGATATGTCCATTATACCATATTAAGGGCATGAAACATTTAAATCATATACAGCACAATATCAAGGCTAATATCTAAACAAAATTCAATATAATTTTAGAACTCTGGAGTTGGTCTTTTAATAAATATTACTTTCATACATACAAACATTTATTGCTTTTTGGTTTTTTATCCTTAGGCTTGCAGTATCATATAAACATATTTACTGAGTTCAGCTGGTGATGTTGCTTTTTATTCTACTATTTTATTTTTTTGCAGAACAAAAGTTACAAAATTTAGAGAGCCAAATAACATACAATTGTATACATTTACATTCATTGTATATGAGTAACAACAATATAACAAATATGGTTATTGGAGTCTCATTTAACACAGAACTTCATAACTTTACTTAAATACACACATATAAAAATGAGGTTTCCTGATTACCACCTGCAAATGTTGAATAGAACAATTTAATATCTTCAAGTTGATAATGATACACTGTTTTCCATGTAATACATATGTATATTATCAGGGTACAAAAAGGTGTGTTGAATGTCAAAAATATATCAATGAATTTAGTCCTATGACAAACAAAAATTCAGTAAATACAAGTTGTCAAATAACATTTTATTTCAAACCTTATAAATTATAACCAATAGAATTTCAGCATTTGAACCATGCAGTGTCCCAATAGAAATCATTGCTGGATCCTAATTTAGCCTCATTTTCATTTCCAAATATTCCATATCAAATGCATATTATACCCTATATAGCCTCATTTTCATTTTCAGAGTCTGAAATCTGTGTCAAATGCATATCATACCCTATAGATCTTTTTTTCATTTTCAGAGTCCAAAATATCTATATCAAATGCATATTGTACTCCATCTTGCCTCATTTTCATGGTAAAAAATTGATATCAATTCCCTATAGTACTTGAAGTAACAAAGTAAAACTATGAAATAAAGTGGTCATTAAACATTGTTGACATCAATACTGATTCTATTGGACTCATACACAGCTGCAAACTTACAATGTACATCAGACTTGGCTTGTCCAATATACATTTGTATTCAGTATTGTACTCAACAATGTATAATAACATCATATTATTGAACACGCCCAAGAAATAGAAACTCATGTGTTAACATGTATGAATTATTCACAATTTATTTTGAATTTCTGTTATTGTTCAAATTCTGATAAAAGCTGCTGTTTATCTAAAGGTAATTGAATTTTGAACTGTACAATATATAAATATATTTAGATGAGAACACAGCAAGTGGAAACATACTTTTCAAGCTGCCATCATTGATGTCATTCTTTTATATTGATGTCTCATTTTATTTATAACATCATACATTATTGCTAATGTCACATTTTAATATTTGACATCTCACTTCTTTTTTTATATGCCACTTTATTTTTTATGACTTACTTCAATTTTGACATCACACTACATTTGACATTAAATTTCATTTTTTGTTTTTGCTGCTTCTATCTTAATGCCACTGATACAAACACTTTATCAGCAAATAATCTACAGTTAAGTGTTTATCTGTGTAACTTACTGTAAGGCAAAAAAAGATCAGTAACCCTGGTAATAGCCAGTCTTCAAATGAGCTGTTTTACAGATATAAACTAGACCTATCACTGAAGGTGATTAATACCCCCACCAGCAACTTTGACTTTTGAAAAATAAGTTGTCTGAAGAAAAATTTGAAATAAACCTACAGTAAATAAAGTACTCAGCACTGTGTACAAAGAATTATTTCAATTTATTGCAATCCCAACTAGGATCTTGATATAAGCTTGCTATACACCAAGTTTGATAACAATATCTCATTCCTAACCCTAGTAATTGTCTGGAAACCATTTTTCTATTTTTAGTAACTGTGACCTTGAACCCAGGGAGTCCAAATGCAATACCAAGCGCGGTCTTCATGTAAGCTTGCTAAACACCAAGTTTGATTACAATATCTCATTCCTAACTTTAGTTATTGTCCGGAAACCATATTTCTATTTTTAGTAACGGTGACCTTGACCTTGGCCCAAGGGGGGTCCAGATACAATACCTAGCGGGGTCTTCATATAAGCTTGCTGTACACCAAGTTTGATTACAATATTTCATTCCTAACTTTAGTTATTGTCCGGAAACCATTTTTCTATTTTTAGTAACGGTGACCTTGACCTTGGCCCCAGGGGGTCCAGATGCAATACCAACCGGGGTCTTCATATAAGCTTGCTATATACCAAGTTTGATTACAATATCTCATTCCTAACTTTAGTTATTGTCCGGAAACCATTTTTCTATTTTTAGTAACGGTGACCTTGACCTTGGACCCCCTTGGCCCCAGGGGGTCCAGATGCAATACCAACCGGGGTCTTCATATAAGCTTTCTATATACCAAGTTTGATTACAATATCTCATTCCTAACTTTAGTTATTGTCCGGAAACCATTTTTCTATTTTTAGTAACGGTGACCTTGACCTTGGCCCCAGGGGGTCCAGATGCAATACCAACCGGGGTCTTCATATAAGCTTGCTATATACCAAGTTTGATTACAATATCTCATTCCTAACTTTAGTTATTGTCCGGAAACCATTTTTCTATTTTTAGTAACGGTGACCTTGACCTTGGCCCCAGGGGGTCCAAATGCAATACCAACCGGGGTTTCCACATAAGGTTGCTATATACCAAGTTTGATTACAATACCTCACTCCAAACTCTAGTTATCGTCTGGAAACCATGATGTGGACCGACCGACGGACCGACCGACCGACCGACCGACCGACCAACCGACAAGCTGACTCCTATATACCCCCCCTAAACTTCGTTTGTGGGGGTATAAATATAATACACTGAAACAAGTTTATAACATTTACATAACAAAATCAAGTAATAAAAAAATTCATTAACATATCTTTTTTTTCATTCTTGAATATTTTTTTTACCAAACATAGATGTTTTCAAACAATGATAAAAAATATACTCTTCCTTAGGAGCAAAGTCAAATAGGGCTGCCTTACAAAAACTAATCAAATAGTTTCATGATTTTTTCTGTGATTTGCGATGCTGTTGAAGACACTTTGATGTACAGAATTTATTATCACAATATTCAAAAGGCACCTTCCCTGTCATATCAGCTCCACATTGAAAACATCGACTGAAATCACAAATCATTTACAAATCATCAACACAATCATTTAATATATATATATCAACCTTCACCTTGCTGGAATCAAGGGTTTGAAAATTTAGAAAATTACTCAAAAATTATGGCATAAATTATTTCCATTTCAAACTATTATATAAATTAATTTATGGATCTCATTCACTTATTAAAACTGATGCTTCTGAAAAAGAAAATTAAAAAATAATGTAGAAAAAGATCCAACACCATGATAAGTGTGGTATTTTACATGGCTTAATAGAATCTATCATTGGGTTTGATAGAGGATAGGGAAATCCCAACCCGAGGGTGATCGGTTCCATCGGGAACGAGTCTTGGCGAGTTCCCGATGGAACCGATTGCCCGAGGGTTGGGATTTCCCTATCCTCTATCTAACCCAATGGTTGATTATTTTTCTCACTCACCTGAACACACAAATATCAGTGAATCTACTTGCTACGCCCATTACAACGTACCTAGTTTTGAAAAGGGGGCGGGGCTTAGGCGCCTGAAAAGCATTATGTACGTCCGCAAAAAAATTCCTCTGACCAAGTTTATGTGTGAAAAATTTAATGAAAATAAATTCATATGAGATCCCTCATGAAAAAGCAAGATTATCATGATAAAATACATCGATATTAAAAACGGAAAGTGCCATACTATAAGTGTTTATAAGGAATTCAGTCCATACTTCAATGGTTGACAAAAAAGCGTTTACCGTTTGCAAAGATTTTTCTACTTTTTCGGTTATTTTGGCCGAATATTCAATTAAAATATATCAAAATGAGATTCGTCATCAAAAAGCATCGTTATCATAACAAAAAACATGAATGTTTTTCAGGCAAAGTGTCATAATATCCGATTTTACGAAGAACGTTTCGATATTTTAAAGTGTGCTATTTTTAGTAACAGATCGTTATTGAAAAGGGCGGATCTAGGTAGAGTAGGACTCATTGCAGTGTGAAAGTTAATATCAATCTATTTTGATTCCGTAGACAATTTAATAGATTAGCTTACAAATTTTTAATACATTTTGACCTTTTGACGTTTAATTTTTGTTAAAATAGGAGTGAATCGCGTATTATTTAGAAGTGCTGCACGTTGAGTGTGAGATAAGCCCATGTGAGATAAGATTTTCCAACACCGCTATTTTTAGTAACATTTAAGGATTTTTCTATCTGGTTAGTGAGAAAATAATTATAACAAGCCCAGTAGATTTATTAGAGATCCTTAATGCGTTAGCCATTAAACTGTTGCATTTTTTAAAATGGATTTACCAGTCTTTAAATCTAGAACAGTTCATTTACAGTTTAAGAGATTTTAATATCAAGTTACACAAATTGAGCTATCCTAAAACCTGGCCAGACTGCATGGATTTTCAGACTGATCTGACTTAATACTTGTGGTAACTGCTGGTCACTTTCAGTACCAGCTGCTTAAGGGTTAAAGCTTGGTGACCATAGGAAACAAACATGACCCTGCAAGGTGTATGAAGATAATCTACAATATGTACTCATTTTTCACCTTTTATCTCTAATTGTAATCTTAATCTTTTGGGTGCTTGGGGTTTTTTTTAACTGCAAAGCAAACCTTCACCAAATCTTTTGACCTTTGACCTCAAAGTTAGTCTTACCTTAACACAGGTTGAGTGTCCCCCTGACTTGTAATCTGTGATACAAGTCTCTTCTCAGCAGCCAATGCTCTCTGAAAACAAAATGTACATAACAGTCTTTAAAATAATCAGCTAATGTGAATGGTTAGTACCAGGTATATTGTTTTTCTGGCAATTTTAACCCATTCTTTGGTCACATTTTGACAAACAATCCACATGACAAGCTCTCCCGGATAACTAACCAATAATTACCATTTTTTCCACAAGTGAGCACCTACTGATTCCATATGATTTTGTAATCAGCAGTAAGAGACAAATGACCATTTGACTCAATGTTGGATATCACCAGTTACTGTTACTAAGTAATTATGTCTCGAGGATCGAACCAGCGACCCCTTGACTTCTAATATGATGCTCTATCTACTGAGCTAAGCTTGCAAACTACGTATAAAGTTCATAGCATGATTTTATCATATACTGCAGTTTTCACACAAGTCACTAAGAAGTGTAAAAGTTTGGAAGTAATGTTTACAATACCAGAACAGAAACTGCAAATCTTTGGTTATTAGCAAAGCCTGTATATATCTGTAGCATGATCTGGCTCTAAACAACAACCTGACAAACTGCTGAATTTTATACCTGATTTCATTCACTGATAAGGAATTGATTCAAAATTAAAATTGGACAAGTTATTTCAAGAAAATCAGCAAGCAAAGGGTTTCAATTTTTAATCCCCGAGTTGTTCATGACTATGAAAACACTCGCAATGTAAATGATTTTAAAAGCTTTGAAATAATAAAAGACCAATACTTATACATATGTAAAACAAAGAATTGGGACATAAGTGGCCTTACCATTTCCACTAAATATCTTAAATGGACTTGTCCATCTTGACACAACCATTTATCATTTTTACGGGAAAATTCAAAATATGAGCCACATCACGACAAAACCAACATAATGGGTTTGCGACCAGCATGGATCAAGACCAGCCTGCACATCCGCGCAGTTTGATCAGGATCCATGCTGTTTGCTATCAGTTTCTCTACTTGTAATAGAGTTGGTAAGCGAACAGCATGGATCCTGATCAGACTGCGCAGACTGGTCTGGATCCATGCTGGTCATAAACGCACTATGTTGGTTTTGTCGTGGCTTGGCTCATATGTATTGACTAAATAGCAAATAGTACAGACCCTGATCAGAGGGCAAAGATTTCACTGCTGATCTTGGTCTGCACTGTCCGCATGGGTAGAATCTGTTGCTGCCACAAGGCTAAGGGTTTGAATTATGGATCATATTTCCAATTAAAATGAAGAACAGAAAATTCCATTCCTTTGAAAATTGGTTTAACAGCGACATTGCCCTAATAGATGGTCAAGTAGTATTTCTGCTGTACTTTTACCAAACAGCTGGAAATTTTACCTTTTCTCTGTCAGAAAGATTTAAATATCTTTGTTTTTCCCTTTCTTCAGCTTTTTGTTTTTCCTCTATTTCTCGTTTTACTTTCTGTTGTTCCTGTTTTATCTTTTTCTGTGCTCTTTTTCTCTCAGCTTCTTTCTTTTTTCTCTCAATTTCCATCTCTTCAGTAAGAGGGCCAGGAATCTATGGTAAGAGTTTTAATAATTAGTTATTGTTTGGAAATACTCACTTGTGACTACTATATACGTAGAGGGTTTTCATTTGTTTGCGTAAATAACATTTTACAAAGATTTACATAATTGAATTTCAGGGATAGTGCAGTTGTTGATACTTTAATCCTTATAGCTTGATGATATAGTGGATAGTAAGACAGAACTGTAAAAGTGTAGTCAGATGCTCAAACCTTTAACTAACCATTACTTTTAAAGAATTTTATTATTCCTTTCTTTGAATTAAATGAGGCAATAGTAAATACCGTCTTTGTTTGATTAGCTGGTTTTTAAGTCACACCAACACTGTATAGGTTATATGGTGACTATCCAGCTTTCTTGATGGATTAATACCTTGTGTATTATTTCAGTTTTAATCAGGTACCTGAGTAGAACCAGCCACCGTCCCTAATCTTACTAGATAGCTTCCTCAAATTTAAGAATCAAAAGTCCTTGGTGGAATTCAAACAGTGGTGAAGGGCAGGTAGTTTGAAATTGACAAACTTAACCAATCAGCTTTACAGGCCACTTTTTCAATATGATACTAAAAATAGATCAGTGAGATATAATTCATATCCAAGTACAATACAGAATTTTGGATCTCATTCCAAATATTGAAAGAAATAGAAAAGTACTAGCGCACAATTAATTAAAACTCTCAGGGTGTCACACTAATAAACAAATGAGATAGTGTACACTGTTAGTATAAATGTCAGGCATAATTTCATGAAAAACTAAACAAGAGGGCCATGATGGCCCTGAGGTCGCTCACCTGTATATAGGCCCCCGGAGCTGGGCCAGTTTATACCCCAGGGCTTTTATTTGAACAAACTTGGAAGACACCGATTAGAAGATGTTTCAAGATGTTAAGTTTATACTACACACATATAATAAAAAACCATGACCTGTGCACTGCCCCCCCCCTCTTTATCGCCCCCCCCCCCCGGCAGGGCCAATTTTAACCAAAGGGCTTTTATTTGAACAAACTTGGTAGACACCCACAAGAAGATGTTTCATGCTTAATATCTAAACTCTAGCTATTAAGGTTTTTTCAAAGAAGATTTTTTAAGTTTTTACTATACACATATAGTTAAAAACAATGACACCTCTGGGGCGGGGCCAGTTTTGACCCCAGGGCTTTTATTTGAACAAACTTTGTAGACACTTACTAGAAGATGTTACATGCTTAATATCTAAACTCTAGCTATTTGGGTTTTTTCAAAGAAGATTTTTTAAGTTTTTGCTATACACACATAAGGAAAATCAATGACCCCCCGGGGCTGGGCCAATTTTGACCCCAGGGCTTTAATTTGAACAAACTTTGAAGACACCCTTTAGAACATATTTCATGCTAAATATCTTAGCTCTAGCTCTTTGGGTTTTTTAAAAGAAGAATTTTTAAGTTTTTACTATATGCATATAGGGAAAATCAATGACCCCCTGGGGCGGGGCTAATTTTGACCCCAGGGCTTTTATTTGAACAAACTTGGTAGACACTCTCTAGAAGATGTTTCATGCCAAATATCTAAGCTCTAGCTCTTTGGGTTTTTTAAAAGAAGATATTTAAAGTTTTTTCTTTCGGTTGCCATGGCAACCAGAGTTCTGCATGGAATTAAATTCTTTGAACAATTTTTAAAGGTGACCACCAAAGGAACATTCCTGTGAAGTTTGGATGAAATTGGCTTAGTGGTTTATGAGGAGATGTCATTTAAAGCAAAAGTTTACAGACGGACGCCGGACGAAAAGCGATCACAAAAGCTCACCCTGTCACTTTGTGACAGGTGAGCTAAAAATGTGACGCAATATAAAACAGAACTGTTTATATCGGGTAAATAATTATTTATATCTTTTAACATGAATATTTTCTTATATTTATCACTCAAGCAGTTAGACTTCTCTGAGACATTTGGACATCTTTCGTCTTTTGTGATTGTCTTTTTTGATGGGAGGGAAAAATATGTCCTCTAAAATAGGTCAATCTGTTTATGGCTATCAAGCTTTGTGCTATTAAAGATAGTCAATACATAATCAATGTCAGATATATACAAATACAACTATAAATAACATACATATCCTCTATATATAACTTGTCACTTACTTGAGCCTTTTCATAATCATATTTATCTGGCCATAACCCCATAAATTTCCTGAATTCATTTCTTGTTGCTTTATCTTTTGATACCATGTATGGTGTTAGACCACCCTTGTCCCTGAAACACAACAAAATAGCTGGATTTCAAAAAGCTCCATTTATACATGTAAAACTGTATAACTAAATAATTTTGCTTTTCACATGTTGGATTGTCCTTCACTCTTTTAAATCAAAATACAGAATTCTACTTAAAATAATGTACGCAAGGGCATAGGTCTTCCTCTTCAAATTTGCATGATTTTTTTCTCTCTATAATTTGAAAAAAGTAGCCTACTCGACTAAGTGCCTAATGGGTTAAATAATATAACTGCCCAACATGCTTAAGTAAAGTACTATTGTGGGCTTAGTTTTTAGTCATATCAAAGCCGCCATAATCATATGGCGACTATCATGTTTTACTGATGAAAGAATACCTAATTAAAACCACCAGCCTTCTGTGAGCAAGCAGAAGTAAAAGAATTCAAAATCTCTATGAGAATTCATACCAAAAAGCTTTGATGGGCAAATTATCTAAATTTAATGATCTTAACAGTCAAAAGCTTCATAAGTCTTCAAAAGGTTTACTGTTTCATATGCTGTATTAAAGTGACATTACTTGACAGGGCTGGAAATATTTTTTTTCGAGATTAATGTTCCATTTGATGAAGACCTAAACCAGTAGCCTGTGTGCACAATTTCAGATTATTCGCTCACTTTGTTTTTCCAGAATTATTATTCTAATTGTGAAGAAAATGAGCCAAAAGTGAAAAGCATTGCATCACTTTTCACACTAATCTGACTAAGGGCATTTTCAATTTATTTTTGAGAATATTTCTTAATAATCGTTTGAATATCTTACTGTTTAAAGAACCCCGACTGATATATGAAAGAAATTTAAATGTTATATTCTTCTAAGGGTTTTAGACCTCAGTGGAGTTCCTTTAAGCAAATATTTTATTGTTGTAAATAAATACCTTAAAGCAGGGTTAGCACCATACTCCATCAGTATTTTCACTATTGCTACCTGGCCCTCTTTTGCTGCTACATGTAACAGAGTTGTATTATTATCCCCAAACGGCTCAGTAACTAGACCTGGTGTAACAACTGGAGAAAAGTCAGGCCATGTTCCTGTCACATCTGACACATGTTTTGTTGTCACTAGTTTTAAAGATGCTTTCTCAGTATCTAAGTCAATCTGTGACTTTGTATTATCATCCATATTTATATTGTTGCCTTTTGCTGCACTTAAAGTATCAGAATCTTCTAAATTGTTTACATTATCCTCAGTTACAGAGTTTTCTATTCTTTTACTTTCGTCTTTACTTTCAGTCTCAGAATCTTTATCATTTAAAGGCATATCAAGTGCATTTTCCTTAACAGTTAAATCAGAATTTGTAGAAACATTAACTTGGTTATCATCTGTTTCTGTAACAACACCTATGTCACATTTATTATCACTTTTAGTACTTGGAATATTGGTTTGGTCCTTTCCCTCTGTATGTAGATCATTGACAGAGCAACTTTCACTTTCCTGAATAACACTTATATCTGACCCATGTCCCGTTCTTTCATTAATATTTTTCTCCTGAGATGCTTGGTTTCTGTTTTCTACTTCATTTCCAACAGGTTTATCCTTGTCTTCAACTATCACATCCTTTCCTGGCTTAGAACCCACAGATGATTCTTCAGACCCTTCACTACGACCTACTTTATTCTGACCTTGACCTACTTCTTCCTGACTTTGCCCTTCAACATGATCACCAGAGATTTGAGGAGTGTACAAGATTGTGAGGAGACTTTTAAGGGATTCTTTGTCACCAACTTTACATGCTGTGTACAGACTGTTCTTCAGGTGGTACTTTTCTTCCTCTGTGAAATCAAGTAATATATTTTAACATATACCTATAAGATAAAATAACAGTAGAAATACATACATTTGAATTGATTTTCTATATTCCTAGACTCCTAATATCACATATATGCACAGTGTATTGACATGATGTAGTATTTCCTGTTGGTACTCCATCCATGTTGATATAACGGTAATCTGAACATGCATTATTTTGTATATCTAGTGCCATCTATAAACATTGCAGATTAACCCAAAAATATTGCCTTTGATCATAGATTCAACTTTTAGCGTGACATGTACTTTGAAATATAGTTGCAGCAGCCAATGATAGTAAAATTAGTCAATGAAACTAAGTCCTTTTCATTCTTAGAAATTTACAGATATAATTTACCCATGATATTAGTATCTGGTTCTGTTTGATATTTCATGGCTGCATTTCTCTTCTTTATACTCTTCTTCTTCTTCTTGGGCTTCTTCGTGAAAGCAAATTCTGTAACAGATGAGTTCATCATAGCATGAATGACTCTGACTTTTTAACAAACAATTTAGAAAGAAAAGAAAACAACATAAAGCTATGCGTAATTCATACTAAACAAACTAAAAATCATTTTAAAGGACTTCATCACATTAATTTAAAATTCCATAAATTTAAGTACATAACAAAACATTTATAAAATCAGTAAAGTTTGGCATGACTGTACTAGCCCTCAACCACCATAAATATCATAAATGGACTTGTCCATAATTCAATCTGGACAAAACCATTCATCATTTTTAGGAGGAATATCAAATATTAGAGACCATGACTTTATGGCATAGATATGTTGACTGATCTTGGTATGCACCGGTTGCAAGGGTAGATTCAGTTACTGCCAGCAGGTTAAGAAAACATCCATATTTCAACAGGCCAAACATTTTTTCTTCTTTCCAATGAATGGCTCAGACCCTAACTGTCAAAACTGAAAAACAAACTACTAAATTGCAATGTATGTTTACATTAAATAAAAAACAAAGATATTTTTGTTGTTATTGTTGTGATGGCCATACCTTTGAGTTCCATCAAGTTAATGGTTGCCATGGTTTCCACAAGTTCGGTATCACTTGCAGTAGATGCTCCAGATGACATAGTCTCTTCCTCCAATACATGTCCTGTAAAAATATAAACAGTTCTATATGAATATTTCTCTTTTAGCAAGGATACCTCAAATGTACAATACTAAGCTAAAGAATGCAAATATCAAACAGGGAAAAGAATGCAAATATCAAACAGAAAAGAAGTAAATATGAAAAAAGAATGAGAAAATGTTAATGTGAACATTCTTGTGGGTATCATTAGCAACAACAAGTGGAAGGCTTTATTGTCTGTAATAAAATGAACAAGAGCTGTTGGTAGGTCAGCGTGCATGACTATTCTCAGTGCTTGATAGTAAAATAAGTCTAGATAATGTAGTCCTACATAATGTAGCGTTTAAAAGAGCCATAATTCTGTCAAAATTTATCTAAAGTTATTGGCCTTGTTCAAAGACCTTCAGTTATGCTCTCAAGTGTGTGAAGCTTCAACCTATTCCCTTCAGTAGTTTTGTAGGTACCAACAACTTACATACAAAAGCTTAACCAAAGCGCCTATACATATTTTGTAGGAAATAAATGCTAATCAATGCTGAATGCTTTGCTGATAATCAATATTCAATTATTATTGCATCATTGATAAACAATCATGAATGTCACTGTCACAAATATATCTGGCTAACACAACACGAAATACTGCAGTTCTGCAACCTAATTTGCAACATTAGCATCTTAAAGAAATTTAGATACCAAATTGGCTATATGTCCTACTTAGCGATGAAGGAATTTGTTGAATACCGTAAGTAGAATAATCTTCTGTAACCAAAGTAACAATCACTTACTAATAATCTATGACTACATATTTCATTTTTCTTTTCTAACAATCAAAATATATGAACAATTGTTTCTTTTTAGGAATATGTTATTAATAAAAACCCAAATCTAAAATTTTCTTTGACTAGTAATGTATACAGGTTTGACTTGTATTTTTTTGTGCATTCATACCTGGCAAAAAAGATTTCATTTCTCTCTTTTCATCCATATTTGTGTTGACAGCATCTTTATCATCAGATGCTTTCTCTTCAGCTTCACCAGAAGCTTTGTTATCCTCCACTGCCAAGGGACTGGTACCTATCTTTTTGTTTAGAAGCTTACGCTGCCTAGGAGTAAGCTGGTTCTCATCTCTAGGTGTCAGCTGACCTGTTTCAGGATTGAAGACTTGTGGTGGAGAGATGGGAACCAAATCATGTAATTCTGCCTCATCACCTGAAATTTTTAACAAAGTCCGCCTTTTTAATCATAAGGAGTCATGATGGCCCTATAACGCTCATCTGGTTATAAAGTCAATAAATGACAGGGGACCAAGAATATTGATAACTAAGGATTAAAAGCAGGCATTATGTTGAAATATAAGTCAACTAATATCAAAATTGTCACATTTATACAACACATATTAGTGACATAATATACACATTTTCTAGAAGTTACGGGCAATAAATTTCGAATGTAATTATACCATAGCATTCAATAGATGCTAGCATCTCATAGACACGTCTGACTTCATTAAATGTAGGACGTCTAGTCTGGAATGGAATAAGTCTAATCCTTTCATCGTCTTTATCTAATGGCGGTGCCTTGCCAGAGAAGAAAATCTTCCTGTTGAAACTTGGGGCTCGTAGAAATATTCTGTCACAGGTTTTTATAAGTTCATTCCAGGATGTGATCAGTTCTTGCACCTCCTTCAAAGAAAAAGTAGAAGAGGCTTGAATAGAGGTTGCATATCCAAGCAATAATAATAAGTGGGATATTTCCATTATTTTATGTGAATAATGAAAATAATTCACAAAGACCTAAAGTTTTAACCAATGTTTCAACAAGATCTTATGGTATAATTGTATTTTATCAATTCTCTAGGTTCTGACAACACTTCAGTCAGTCTAAAAGTTTTGAAAAATACTCCACAAAGACCTCATTTTGTGAAAATTACTATAGCTGTTATACTTATGTACTGAACTGTTCAGATATCTCTACACTATAATAACACTGTGAAAATAAGAGTAAATATCTGTAAAACTTACAAAATCATATTAAGAAATACCTTAAAAAACATTTATTACTAGTATTTTTTTTTCCCAGTATTATCCTGTTTTGAATTTTTTCTATCTAGACTTATTGTAAAATCCCTTATAAACTTATTCATAAATAGAATATCCACCTATATTATATCTTGTCGAATTCTATACAAATGAACTGGCAAAATAGGCATTTATTTAACAGACTCAAATTTTGTTGTTGTTTTCATTGCTTCACAGGGATCAATCCTTTGCAAGAATTTTATATACTTTCACATAAAGCTTCTAAACAGTATTACATTAGTTAAACAGAGATTAATCCTGAATCTTGTCAGTGTTACCTGTGTTAGTGCAGCCTCGTTATATCTCCTCAATGAAGCCCCGGCTGATTTTGGGGCGTTACCCTGGCTGTCCCTGCTACCCTGTGCTGTACCTCTTTTAGCTCGCACTACATATCTATGGAATGTCTTGTGTGCTACCATCTCATTTCTGCAAACAGAACAAATACCAGTAAATATTAAACATCACAATAGCTTTATGTTAATTTTACCCTTACTACGCTGAGTATGTGAAACGGCTTGCTTGTAATATGAAATGTGAGTTTAAGGGACTTTGATATTAAAATATTACGAACAAGTCATATCAAGAATCGTAGTTAGCACACACACTCAGGGTTGAAATACATTATTATAACTCACTAACTTTCCTCCATAATCATCAAAACCCACTGCCCAAAATATGGATACATGTATGATGTATTAAATAATAAAGACATTTTTAACCTTTTAGACACATGACTGAGCAAAAGTAACTGACAAGATCATGTGACAAGTGATATTTTTTTTAATGACATATAAGAGTAATTAACTGCTGCAATCTTTATGCCAAATTATTAGGTGATTACCTCCCTTGTACTCACACATAATACCAGTATTAGCATTTCAAAAAATGCTTGGAATCGCAGTTCAGCCACAAATATAGAAATGATATTAAACCACAAATATAGAAATGATATTTTCATTTCTTGCCTAATACCTTTATTGTATGTGGTCAACACATAAAGCTAACAAAAATACTTTATTTACTCTTCCACTCCGTACTTGTCATGTACTAAGCTAGATTCTGAGATATATTTTGTTCTGGGTCAGAATCTGCTACACATTAAAGTTGATGTTTGTGAATGTTTTGATTCATGCATTCTATAAATATACATGTATGCTGACCAGCATTTTGTTTAATGATCTTACGAGGGATCACACCTCTACAATTCCTGCATACAAAGCCAAATTCAATGCACTGCCATTTAGTCAAAATACTATAATGCATGTACCGTATATATTGACAAAAGAATGGACTAATATTGGAGTTGGGAGGGTATACGCATGTTTCGATAACCAACTTGCCTCCGGTCCACTCACAAAGTTAAGTAAGAAATAGCTTTATATATTGTCTATGTAACATTACAACTTTACAGCAAGTTTAATTTTCGCATACAGAAGTACTACATTAGATATTGACTTCATACACTTACTTAAAATCAAATTTCAGGAAAGTAATGCCATATATTAAAGTAACAATTATTAAATATTTTGCAAATGTTTTAAAAAATTGTGTTTTCAATTCAAATCAATTAAAATTCATAAAAGAAAAACAGTGAAATCAGTTTATTACTACTGCAGTAACTTATTAAGTATCTAATGTATCTAATTATAGAATGAAGCTGGGTTTTTCCACTTTATAGAAATAGATATTTGTATCACACAATCATTAAAAAACGTCTCCTTGCAACATAGCTTAATTAAGGCATAACACATTCATATTCTATGGATATTTATAAAACATATTTAAATGATCATCTTGCTGTTTTATACAATCCTAATCATTTATCAATGCCACATTTAAGTGTTATCATTAATTAGTCCTTCATAAGAATTTTGCACCCCTTCTTAAATAAAATAAAGAGGGGGGGATGGGAGAGGGGTTGGCTGGATAGTAGAAATGTGGTTTGGGCATTTAGTCCTTTATGTGCCGCCTCTTAAGTCCTGGAAGTATGATGTGGTTCCTATCAGGCTGTAACTTTCCCTGTTTGTGGCACCTTATAAATTATAACCAATGAACTTTAGCGTTAAATTACACCCTCCAATAGAAATCATTATTGATTCAAATCTTATCAATTTAGCCTCAGTTCTTTTCCAGAGTCCAAAGAGTGCATATCAAATACATATCGTACCCCATATATAAAATATAGCATATCAGACTCCATCATCTTGCCTCTTTTCAATTTGAGAGTCCAAAAATCCATATCAAATCCTTTTTGTACTTTAAGTAACAAAGTTCTGTCAAAAATGATGGGAGTGCAATAAAAAGGTCATTGCAAGACCTATATGCAAACTCAGCATGCAATGTAATATAGGAAAGTTTGTTTTTTTACAAAAAACATGTGTGGACTAATGGTGAAAGCTGGGAAGTGTAGACAATTCATAGATAACCAGTTAACTCCGGACCAACATACTTAATATAAAACTTGACAGGTATATATATTGTATTTAAACTTTTAAAACAAACTAACAATTTGATAATATGAATACAGCACAAATTTGAATATTGCATGAAAATTTACCTATATAAAACAACATGATCTTCATTTAGAAATAAATTATCAGAGCCAAATTGTTTATGTACATATTTTCATCAATACATTTCTTTTAAATATCTCAATATAATTAAAATAAATGAAGTCAAAATATTTAACAGGAAAAGCTGGATATCTTAAATGTATTGCACTTTATAATATGTCAGTTCTATTTTCAGAATAAATACATTGGTCACATCAATAGTGTTGTTGTTACATGTATAATATGTTAATTATATAATATATAAAGTCAATCAGATTAGTATTATCCTGATTAAAGGAAAATCAAATTTAAAACATGGTTAAAGAGCACAAAATGCAAACTATGTTTTATATACCAAGTTCAATTTATTTTAAGATTGTTCTAGTTTTTCCAGTTAGATTCTAAAAATAGAAAATACAATTACATCTATTTTTAGACTACTGACAGCATACAACCTATGAATTAACCATAATAACGTTTGATATCTTAAATTGACTTTTCCAATCTTGCAGTCTGGACAAAACCACACATGATATATAAAGGAAATTTTGCTACATAATAAATTTTACTGACTGAATAGCTAACAGTGCAGAGTATGATCAGATAAGGAATGTGGGACTTGATCTTGGTCTGCACTTTAATGTCACAATAGGTTGAATAATTCTGTAGCAGCAGGCAAGGTTATTAAGCATTAAAACATTCCTGTATTTAAACAGAATATATATATAAAATATCTACTTAAAATGTTTTGAAACAATAAAATTTTAAGGACATTTCTAGCTTCACAGTTGATGATGTTTTTGTGCAATGATTCTCAGTAAGAAATACATTGATTTGATTGGTTGACAGAAAGTTACTTATGTAAATATAAGAAGATCTGCCAAACTTCTTATTGCTTCTTTAAAATATCACACCATATGGGCACTGTCTTGATACCTATCCCAGATATTATCAAAATGACCTTCCAACTGACATTTGTGATGCATATTCCAGTTATTTCAGTAATAACCCCAAACTGACCAATGTGAAACTGACCTATGTGATGCATATTCAAGTTATTCCAATAATAACCCAAAACAGACCAATGTGAAAATGACCTATGTGATGCATATTCAAGTAATTGCAATAATAACCCCAAACTGACCAATGTGATACCTAATCCAGTTATTGCAATTATGACCCCAAACTGACCAATCTAAAATGGACCTATGTGATGCAGATTCCAGTTATTGCAATAATAAACCCAAACTGACGTATGTGATACCTTTTCAAGTTATTGCAATAATAACCCCAAACTGAAAAATGTTATGCCCATCCCAGTTATTATCAAAATGACCCCTTTATATAGTTTTTTAACGTCAAGTCCTCAGGTGTTGGTAGAGCTTGGGTCACAACTGACTGCTGCGTATATGCCAACGAGCATTTGTTTAATGATCTTTGTTTTATCCTAACCAAGGATCAAATCTCTACAATTCCTGCATACTATTAGCCAATGAACCACCACTAAGTCACCTCTGCAGTTCCCAAAAAATATATTTAAACACTACATTACACTTAATATAGACTAACAAAAGAGTGGACTAATATTGGAGTTGGGAGGTATACGCATGTTTCGATAACCAACTTGCCTCCGGTCCACTCAATATATGTAAGGAACAAATAGCTTTATATATTGTCTATGTAACATTACAACTTTACAGCAAGTTTTATTTTTGCATACAGAAGCACTACATTAGATATTGACTTAATACACTTACTTAAAATCAAATTTCAGGAAAGTAATGCCAAATATTGGAGTGACAAGTATTAAATATTTTGCAAATACTTTAAGAAATTATGTTTTCAATTCAAATCAATTAAAATTCATAAAAGAAAAACAGTGAAATCAGTTTATTACTACTGCAGTAACTTATTTAATATCTAATGTATCTAATTATAGAATGAAGCTGGGTTTTTCCACTTTAAAGAAATAGATCTTTGTATCACACAATCATTAAAAAACATCTCCTTGCAACATAACTTTATTAAGGCATAACACATTCATATTCTATGGATATTTTAAAACATATTTAAATGATCATCTTGCTGTTTTATACAATCCTAATCATTTATCAATGCCACTTTTAAGTTTCCTTTGAATTTGAAAATTATATTCATATTTTTTATATAATTTTTATACTGTGCTAATTTACTATGATCACCATTTATGTATTAAGAGACACCCTCCAATAGAAATCATTATTGAATCAAATCATATCAATTTAGCATCAGTTCTTTTCAGAGTCCAAAGAGTCCATATCAAATACATATCATACCCCATATATAAAATATAGCATTATCAGGCTCCATCATCTAGCCTCTTTTAATTTTAGAGTCCAAAAATCCATATCAAATCCTTTTTGTACTTTAAGTAACAAAGTTCTGTCAAAATGTCAAAAATGCAGGAGTGAGATAAAAAGGTCATTGCACAACCTATACTCAACTAAGCAAGCAATTTGTCTAATATAGGAAAGTTAAATTTTTTTTTACAAAAAGCATGTGTGGACTAATGGTGAAAGCTGGGAAGTGTAGACAATTCATAGATAACCAGCTAACTCCGGACCAACATACTTAATATAAAACTTGACTGGTATATATATTGTATTTAAACTTTTAAAACAAACTAACAATTTGATAATTTGAATACAGCACAAATTTGAATATTGCATGAAAATTTACCTATATAAAACAACATGAACTTCATTTAGAAATAAATTATCAGAGCCAAATTGTTCATGTACATATCTTCATTAATACATTTCTTTTAAATATCACAATATAATTAAAATAAATGAAGTCAAAATATTTAACAGGAAAAGCTGGATATATTAAATG